CGTACAGACACGCACACACACACACAATCTGCGTTTTATAATAAGTAAGATATTATAATTTTTCCATATGGACAAAATCAATTTATTCACTACAAAGATACAGCTTCGTTTCAGTGCATTTAATTGCACTTCGACTGGCGAGAACCAAAATGGTTATGAGCAATTCTGTTTGTATGAAAGCTGCATGTGAAACGTCAGTTCTTTTTTGACATTTGTTTGAAAGAAATATATAAATTCAAAAAGGTGATGGATGGTTGAGGTGTTAAAAGTGATGACAAGACCTGATAAATTTCTTTTCAACAACAATGGTTTTCACCAATCGAAGTGCAATTAAATACACTGAAAGGAAGTTGCATCTTTGTAGTTAGTAAATTGTTTTTCTCTATATGAAAAATTAAAATAAATAATTATCGCTCTACTATCGGTATTGAGCCGTCATTTGAATTAATGCTGTGAACGTTAGAATTCATATACTATTTTCGTTCTCATTACATTCGGATATATATATATATATATATATATATATATATATATATATATATATATATATATGTATGTATGTATTTATAATTATTTATTTAAATATGATTCAACGCTACATAAAAGTTCTCATGTTTCAAAAACAAGAGCCGAAAACTTATTTGAATTAAATTGAATTAAAGTACCAAGCTCTATTCCATCTTCAAGCGAAATTTTTTTTGGGAATAACTAATTCCTGAAATTTACGCGTTTTATAAGCATATTCATTATTAAAATTACTATGGTAACGGCTAGAGCAATTATTTAAAAACTTTAATGCGATAAATTTCGTAATGATTTTCTTGGACTCTGCCGCATACTGTCAAGAATATTCAACTCAACCGTTTCTCCTCTGACGGCTTTGTTGGCCTTCCACGTTTAGTATTGACTACAGATTCTGTTTCCCGGAATTTAGTTACATATTGCATTGCGATATGTAACAGGTGTATCTAAAAATTTATCAGCCTAACACTGTCGCACGAAATCTGTGTATATGCCACCTTCACGAAGTACAGTTGTTCAAACAGAAATACATACACGTTCTTCAGTTGTTAAAACCATATTGGGATGAAATCTGAAAAACAATAAACATGATTAGAGTGCGCATTAACTTGACGAACACATTGAATATATATATATATATATCTTCTCTTTTCTTGTATACATAAGGTTAGTAATGCAAAGCAGACGGAAAATTTTCACATACGCATCGGCAGTATGAATTGGCTGGATTTTAAGTTTAGATCATATCGTTTTTTTTTATTGTGCGTAATGTCACCACAAATGTATCCTCACATTTCCGGTGTCAGTTTTTTAATTTCAGTTTTATGTCAGCGAATCGGTAGTGATTTATGCATCTGAAAATAATTCATATTTATCTGTATCTCATAAATTTAAACCGTTATTTAACTCCTCTCTTTAAAACTTCCCCCTGTTAAATTTTAATCCCCACCTTCACCTATATCCTTCCTGTTCTTCTTTCTTCTGTTACACCCTCTCTCTAGAGCTTTCATACATTTCCCTCTCACACTTGTTTCCGACTCCCACACATACACTATCACTAAAATTTTGTTTTTTATACCCGGAGTTATATTTTCCGATTTCTTTTTGAATTTGTAGGTCTGATGATTTGGATAATGATTACGATTACAATGTAATAAATTATAAACATAGAATATTAGTGTTTGAGCCTTTGATATTATATTCTTACGCTGTCCTGGACATTGAGTTCTAACTGGATTCTATCCTCTTGGGAATTTATATATATATATATATATATATATATATATATATATATATATATATATATATGTATGTATGTATTTATATATATACATATCTATATGTATTTATATATATATATATATATATGTGTGTATATATTGTATTTATATGTATATATATATATTTATATATATATATATATATATATATATATATATATATATATATACCATATATTATATAAATATATATAAATATATATATATATATATATATATATATATATATATATATGTAGAGAGAGAGAGAGTATTAAAGCATCAGACCATATTTAAACATATATTGTGAAATATAAGACAAATGAATGCCTGTTATGTTGTAAACGCCGTACATTTTTATTTTATATATATATATATATATATATATATATATATATATATATATATATATATATATATATATATTAAATATGATTTCATTTGCATACAGAAATTAATATTTTTCGGAACTGGTCACCCATATTCAAGTGTAAATTCTATATTAAACCTTAACTATTCGATAATTCCATTCCCAAGAGATGTTTGGAATAGCTCACCAAAGAAATGTTTTACTCATTTATAGTTTTGAAATGTGGGTGCAATCTAGGGTTTATTTTTCATTATCAAGTTGTCTCTGGTTTGATGAAAATAGGAATGTTTATTATATGTCAAGTTTTGGGCGTCGTATAAGTTTGGATTGGTGCATTTTTATGCCTGGCTATAATGGCTAGTTTTTTCAGGCTCTGTTGTTTTTATTACTATCTTCTAAAACTCTCACTGATTGATGTTTTTACAGTCCCTTTTGGTGTTTATTTACTTGATTTTTGTTAGCTTTGTTTTGTTTTTGTTTTTTGTTTTTTCTTGATGACTTCTTAAAGGGGTGCTAATATTATGATTGAGTTGTTTTTTGTTTTTTTAACCTATATTTTTAACTGAATTTGCTAAATGATTTTATATGGTATTGTGGAATTTTTTCTCTCCATTTATAAAATACTAATTTTTTAAGGCGAATATTTGGTGGTGCCTGAAAAAACCGTTATTTCATTTCCTTGATTTAATTTTTTTTTTTTTAGAAACTTTATAATATGTAGTTTTTCACGTAGGCATAAAGGGCATGGGTCATCCCATGTTCTACAAGTTCTTGTTCTATTTATTATTTTTCATTTTACTGTTGGTGTTTTATTTATATATGTTTCCCTCAAATTCTCAAAATATTTAGTTAGGGATGTCTAATTTCGGTTTCTAATATTATTGAAGGAGCTTTGGTGTAGTCTCCACTTTATTTTAAATTCGTTCTTTGTGGATCCTATATATATCTTTTCAATGTTTGGATTCTCGATAGATGAGATTTTGCATTGGTATACCACAGATTCTATGCGGCATCTATTATTCAAAGGGCAATTTTCAGGGTTTCTACAATTACATAATTTTTCATTATTATTGTCTAAATTCAGTTTAGGATCTTTATTTATTTGATTTTGACATGAGTATTTTTTCAAGATTTTATCATTATTTTTTATAATCCTTTCTAGATTTTCTGCACAGCTATAACTTAATTTTATATTGTTGTTACTTAAAATCTTGCTAAGTTTACTATTAGTCGGAAAATGTTTTAGGTATCACCCCCACGTTCAACAAAATGGTTAGTAATAAGCTAGAACAAAAATTCCTAGCTTTAATCGAAAAACATTGGCAAGAGGGTGGCATTTTTAGAACGAAATTGATAAAAACGGTAGCTCTTTGTTTCAGAATCGCTGAAATAATTTTTAAATAGCAGTTATCTTGGACTTTTGACAGCCTTTCAAATGTGGGGCGTATTTCTTCAAGACTGAATGAAATTCAGAGTCGTGCTATCAATGTTGAATATTATGTATATTCACTAATATATACTTACAGCTGTGGCACATAACATTCAGCACTGTATTTGTAACAACTGAGGAAGAAATATATTTATACGTACATGCAAGTATATATGCGTGTATATATATTTTTATCATGACCATATATATATATATATATATATATATATATACACGTATTTATCTCAGTTTCATCATCTTTAACAATGCATGCATGTATGTATCTGTCTATACGTCTGTTTTATTATACCTTCATACCTATGTCATTTTGTTCATATCTATCTCAGTCTGTTAATATCTATCTCTATCTATCTATCTATCTATCTATCTCATTCTGTTTCTATCTATGTAAATTCGTTCCTTGTGGATCCTATATATATCTTTTCAATGTTTGGATTCTCGATGGATGAGATTGTGCATTTGTATACCACAGATTCTATGCGGCATCTATTATTCAAAGGCTAATTTATCTAAGTCTGTTCGTATCTATCCCAGTCTGTTCATATCTATCTATCTATCTATCTATCTATCTATCTATCTAAGTCTGTTCATATCTATCTATCTATCTATCTATCTATCTAAGTTTTTTTTTATCTAATGTCTATAGTTGTTTCAGTTTCTTAATCTTTCTATCTCACTTTGTCTGTCATACTTTTTTCAGTCTATCTATCTATCTATCTATCTATCTATCTATCTATCTATCTATGTCTGTTCATTTCTGTCCATCTATGGACTTATCTATGCGTATTAATGTCTGTGTATTTATCTATGTTTGTTCTTATCTATCTATCGATCGATCTCTCATAGTCTGTTCATATCTGTCTATTTCATTCTCTTCGTATCTATCTATCTATCTATCTATATATATATATATATATATATATATATATATATATATATATATATATATGTTCATCTATCTACCTACCAATGTTTTTTTTCTGTCTGGCAGTCTATAGCTGTTTCAGTTTCTTATCTATCTCCTTTGTCTGTCTGTCATACTATTTCAGTCTATCTATCTATCTATCTATTCTATCTATCTATCTATCTATCTATCTATCTCAGTCTGTTCCTATCTATTATCTATCTCAGTCTGTTCGTATCTATCTATCTATATATTGTTTATATCTATCTATGTCTGTTCATGTCTGTGTGGTTATCTATGTATGTTTGTTCATATCTATCTATCTATAGATCTCTACAGTCTGTTCATATCTATCTATCTGGGATCTATCTATCTATCTATCTATTATATATATATATATATATATATATATATATATATGTTTTATCTTTCTTATTCATCTTTCATATCTATCTCTCTATTTTTGTCGGTATATCTATAAATTAAACTTGGAATGTATTTCATGTTTTCATCTCGAATAGCCCTTTCATCGATTTACTAATTCATCGATTTTCGTTTGATAAACGAAAAAGACGAATTTACCAATCAGGACTGAGACAGCCTTTTTGATCAATCTGAGATCGATGCCTCGATAATCACATTCGATCCTATTTGGTTGTATCCGTAATCGAAGGGATTTTCAGCCCGAATTTAGACTTACTCAACGCTTATCCAAGCGTGGAAAATGAAGGTAAGGGAAAACAATATCTCCTTCCGACAAGCGCATTCGCAGATTTCATTAATTCATTCCAGGTGTACTTCGGGCGCCCGAGTATATCAAAAATCCCGCTTCTAAACAAAGGAAATACTCATTTCGTGTTCAACCATTATTCAATCTCATCTCGAAAAATAGAACAGGAAGCAAAATATTATTTGTTTGGCTTCATAGCGAGAAGAAAGGAGACCATTCCGTCGTTTGCGCTAAAACCAAACTAGACGCAGGCTGTCCAGAATGGAACCAATCATTTAATATTAACCAAAATAATAACGTACCTAGGGCAATTGCGACTAAATCTTATTCAGAGGACCCTACATAGATTCGCTCACAATTATCGCACATTCAAAATATTGCCAATTCATTCATTATGGCCAGAAATGTAGACTTATGACCAGTTTATACTAGATTCCAAAAAGTAGACAGAGATCCGATTTGCAATAGAGTCGAAAAATAGGCATATACCCGGGTTACACTACGAAAAGATATACATAGATCCAGTTAAAACTAGAGCCAAAATTATAAACATAGGTCCATTTTAAACTAAACTCAAAAAGGTAGACATATCAGGTCATCCCATAAGTTCTGTCCGAATTTTAACTTTTTCTTAAAATGAACGAAATTTAAAGAGTATTTTATAATGTCTAATGGAGCTGAACATTATTTTTATGTTTAGATGCATTTAAACTGATCAAATTTTATTTCAGAGAACAATAAAATTAAATTTTGTTTGATTAAAACCCTGCTAACATAGAAGTACCCAAGAATCATTTGAGGCGCATAATGCTTTATGAGTTCAAGAAAGGAAACTCAGCAGCCGAAGCGGCTAGAAACATTCACTCAGTTTATGGAGAGGAATGTGAAAAAGAACTTGCAGAAGATGGTTTGCAAAATTCAGAGGTGGAGATTTCACCCTTGAAGATGAAGATCGAACCGGACGTCCAGTTGAGTTTGATGAAAGCTTCTTGAAGCAGTCCTTGAAAAAAAATCCTGCTTTATCAGTTGAGGAATTAGCAGTGGTTCTCAGTTCAAACCATACAACTGTTCATCGTCATCCTCAACAATTTGTAAAAGTTCCTAAACTTGGAAAATGGGTTCCTCGTGAATTGTCTGAAAACAACCTCAAATCCCGAGTTGACATCTGCTCTTCTCTCCATTCTCGTCAACTTGTTTCACCTTTTTTGGAAAGACTTGTGACTGGCGAAGAAAAATGGATCTTTTATCGAAATGTTAAGCGTCGTAGACAGTGGCTTGGTAAAGGGGAAGGACTCCAGCCATAGCCGAGAAGGGAACTTCATGGGCAAAAGGTTCTTCTTTCAATCTGGTGGAATCGCCAAGGAATAATCCACTTTGAATTCTTAATGCAACAATTAATGCTCAAATATACTGTCAGAAATTAGAGCGTTTGAACCAAGCTTTGAGGAAAAAAACCTGCTCTAGTGAATCGAAAAGGGGTGATGTTTCATCAGGACAATGCGCGACCCCACATAGCAAGAATCACGTCACAAAAAGATCGAAGAACTTGGTTGGGAGAAAATTCACTCATCCACCTTATTCTCCGATCTTGCTCCTTCAGACTACCATTTGTTTCGTAGCTTACAGAATCATTTGGAAGAAACAGCTTTTTTGTAACACAGGAAGAGGTTAAAACTGACATTTGTGAGTTCTTCGAATCAAAGTCAAAAGAATTTTACAGTAATGGAATTAGTAAGCTTGTTAATAGATGGAAGGAAGTCATAGATAATCAGGGAAAATACATTGTTGATTGAATCTGTAATTAAATGTAACATTTGGTCAATTGTTTTCTTTATTCAAAATTCGGACAGAACTTATGGGATGGCCTGATATGTCCGGTTTTGACTAGAGTCGAAAAGATAGACCTATATCCGGTGTATATTAGATTCAAAAAGTTAGAGATTAGTCCGGTTTACACTAGAGTAAAAAAAAAAGTAGTCATATGTCCTGTTTACATCAGAGTCGAAAAGGTAGACATAGATCTGGTTTGCTCAAGATAGATGTAGGTCTAGTTTACACTCTAGTGAAAAAGACAAATATAGGCCCTTTTTACACTAGAGTCGAATAGATATATATCCTGTTAAAACTAGCGTCATAAAGATCGATATATATCCTGTTTAAACTAGCGTCGAAAAGATATATAGAGATCCTGTTTACAATAGTGTTGAAAAGAAAGATATATAACCTGTTTACACTAGTGTTGAAAAGATACATATATATCATGTTTAAACTAGCGTCAAAAAGATAGATATATATCCTGTTTATACTAGCGTCGAAAAGATCAATATATATCCTGTTTAAACTAGCGTCGAAAATATATATAGAGATCCAGTTTACACTAGTGTTGAAAAGATAGATATATATCCTGTTTAAACTAGAGACCAAAAGATATATAGAGATCCTGTTTACACTAGAGTCGAAAAGATAGATAGATAGATAGATAGATAGATAGATAGATAGATAGATAGATAGATAGATATCCTGTTTACACTAGTGTTGAAAAGCTACATATATATCATGTTGAAACTAGCATGTATAAGATAAATATATATCCTGTTTACACTAGCGTCGATAAGTTAGATATAAACATGCCCGGTTTCTACTTGATTCAAAAAAGTAGACATATGTCCGCTTTACTCTAGGGTCAAAAAGACAAACATATGTCCGATTTACACTAGACTCAAAACGATAGACAGAGGTCCGGTTTACACTCTAGTGAAAATATATATATATATATATATATATATATAGGTCATGTTTACACTAGAGTCTAAAAGGTTGTCATAGTTTCGTTTTACGATAGAATCGAAAAGGTGGACATTGGTCTGTTCTGTACAAGAGTCGAAAAGGTCTCATTAGATCTGGTCAACACTAGAGTCAAATGGATAGACGTATGTCCGGATTATATTAGATTCGAATATTTTGACATAGTTCTGGTTTACACTAGTCAAAACGGTTTACTCTAGAGTCGAAAAAGTAGGCATGGCCGGTTTACACTAAATTCAAAAACATCGACATAAACCGATTACACTAGAGAAAAGATAGTAATAGGTTCGGTTTACGCTAAAGTAAAAAAAAAAAAAGTAGGTATAGACCAAGTTTACACTAGTGTCAAAAAGGTAGACATATCCCATAAACTGTGCCGCTTACTCTGTAACCCTCTACCTTGAGTGGCTTTCGTGCCTTGGTTCGGATGAAATTTGTTATAGAAAAAAAATTGCTTTCGCATCTTTTTTTTTCGATCTCATTAAACCCTTGCGTCTCAGTGTCATTAAATCCTTGATCGGGGAGAAACGATTTTTTTAAAAAAAGTTTTCTGAGCAGACATCGTATCAAACATATGTTCCCGACCATTAATAAAACAAATTTTTATCACGTAAGATGAATTCGTCGAGAAGGACACTCGCTGACCGGGTAACTGTCAGACAGAGTGATCGATAAACCAATAGATCGATTGTTAGATATGAACACTCAGATCTCCCATGCATACACACACTTTTACATACAGATCAATAATGATATATACTAATTCATTTTTAATTATTTATTCGAAAATTCTAACATAAATATGTTATAAAATCACTTCAAAAATAGCCATTTTGTTTTAACACCTCTGATGTCTTATCAAGTGATGATGTTGAATGTAGAATAAAAAAATGTTCAAATTAATTAACTACTCCTCGTAAGGGGAAACGCTGTTACATAAGCTGGAGTGACCAATCAAAATACAAGTATACGAGATTTCAAAAAACTTGACAACAAGCTAAGGTTATAATAACTATTTAATGCCTTAACGTTGGAGTTAGTCTAAAACAGAATTTATTCTAACTAATAAGTATTAAATTATACGATAAAATTTGAAATAAAAAATTAAAAATTACCCATTTTAAAATATAAATTTAATCTCTAATAAGTTTTAAAATTATAAAATTACTGAGAAAAAAAATACATATGTTATTCTATTTATTTTGTTTTTATTGAAATTAAGTTGAAATAAACGTTAAGATCAACTGTTGCTCTGAACTTCATGACAACATGGATACATTTGAATTCTAAATATAGGTAGGGGAGGATGACATCTTCTAAATGACAAGATGTACACAATCAGGTTATAATACATAAGCACTCAGACATATTTAGATATATACACACGCAAAAAGTGACGAGACAGGAAATATCTCCACGACCCTTTACAAAAAAAAAACAAAAAAAAAACATATATACACAATGAAAGTTGCATCCAAGTTACCATACACACACACACCGATAAAGACACGTACATGCATCCATATACATTAACATAGACATTCCGTTACAACAGCCAAGAAATATTTATTCATATAAGACATGAAAACACTCAAGTGCTCAGGATCGCCTCGTCAGTGATGTTATGACTTAGGGTCATTACAAGTTTTGGGTCTTCCAACATCATACTTGTTCACCCAAGAGACCCTACCAAAACAGTACTATTCCGGCAGGCGATCCTGAAGCAAAATAAAATAAAAAAAATACGCCAAGCCCGCAGCAAATAGACTTGTTATATAAATGCCACTGCTGACC